ACCTCCGTTCTAAGGGGAACGAGATAAGGGACCACAGATAAAAAGTAGAGTCAATTAGCCCCGACCATAAATAGAAGTTGTCGCTCATATAGGTGTTTACTATAGGGTTTAGGGTTCACGGTTTCCCAAAATTACAGGCACCTTTTGAGGGATTCATAGGGGTCATATAGGGTTCAGGGTTTAGGGTTTCCCAAAATCAGGGGTACCTTTTAAGGGCCTTTTTGGGGCCTTTTAAGGTTTGGGGTCTGAAGTCAGAGCACTAGTAATAGTAGGCGGAGGATTTTTCATAATTCTTCAAGACCTTCCCTGATTTCACGAAGTCAGGCCTGCGAAGAAAACAAGTTGCAGAGAAGTGGCTCGCCTCCAAGGTTTGTCCAATGCATGGATCACTCACCCTACTCCAGACGAATTGGCGTCATTGCTCTTTGGCCGAATATGAGCCATAGTCTAAACTCCTAGTATCCCCCTTAATAACCCCAACAGTCGCCCCCTACATAACCCCTTTAAGAACTTTAGACGATGGCTCAGATATTTGCGTCATGATTGAAGAAGAAGTTTCAGCCTGACATCTGGATCCTTCAAAGGCCATGTGAGTAGTATTTAGTTTGGGGATTCTATGATAACCAATGAAGAGTAAGATCATATTTTGCTTTTGGGGTATATTTTTTGTATAAGGAATATATCTTACTAGGTTCAACCACCAAAAAACACTACTCATGTCCCACTGAGGTGTGTTTCGTTGAGGGCAGACAGAACCTCCACTTCATGCAGCTGACCCGTGAGGAGCAGCAGGCAGGCCGCTTGCTACTGCATCACCTTCATGCAGAATAGATACAGGATATACAGGACATGATTGTCTCTGTTTGCCCTACAAAGGACATGATTGTTTCTGTTTGCCCTATAAAGGACATGATTGTTTCTGTTTGCCCTATAAAGGACATGATTGTTTCTGTTTGCCCTATAAATGACATGGGTGTTGGATGCTGCCATTGCCAGAGCAGCGATACAATTGCATAAGCGCGCAGGAGAGATTGCTGGAGTTCTTAGCCATGAGCTTCAACCGCACTGAGGCAAGGAAGACTTCTGTTGGGATGTCCTCAGAATGCAAGTTAGAACTCTACTTGGGAAGCATGGTGTGCAAGAATACCTTTGGAGCTCCATGATCTTGCACTAGACGCGCAATATGGACATCGACAAGTGCCGTGCTGCCAATTTGTTACAAGTAGTAAGTTAGGATGCATACCTTAGCTTCAGCTGAAGAGTCTACTGGGGAGAATAATAGTAATGGCAAATCAGTAATAGCAATACTCTGAAGCTGTAGCGGACATGGCCTCAGCTCTCATTGCAGTGCCATGTGGCCCGAAAAAGAAATAATGGAGAATGAAATGGAAAATAAAATGGAAGCTATTCTGTATGGGGTTATACATATACGGATAATATGGCACGAAAGAGGATTAGCAAACATGAGAGCTGGGTAGACGACACAGCCAGCGGGCAAGAGCACCGTAAAGAAATCGTTGTCATGTACGATAAGCAAAGTGATGGTACTGCCACGGTTATCAAATCACCCGTCTAAACCCCTGAAAAAACCAAACCCCTGCATAATCCTTGTTTCCATTCCATTTTCCAATAGACTTCCCATTTGACCTTCCATTTTATATTATTGGGTAAAATACCCCTACATAATCCTAAGCCCTAATTTTCGCAAGCCATGCAAGCGGCAAGCAGAAATAAGTTTAAATAGTTGCTTCCATTCTTTTTTCTGTTATCCCTATCATACCCCACATTTTCCCTATAGAACATCTATGTATCCCTATATAACCTGGCTCTATAATCCTAAACCCAAAACTCCCCATAAACCCAAAAAGACTAAGCCCGAAGCACTAAGCCTCAAACCCTAAACCCACAGCCCTAAACCCGCTATATCCTAAAACCCGGGAAGCTACCATATAACCCGTATACAACCCATGCCAACCCAAAGGCCATAACGCTGAAACCCAGCTTCGTGGCGCACAACTGGGCAGCGACTCGACCTGCACCAAACCAACAACAGTAACGCTGCAAGGGTTTAGGCTTTAGGCTGTAGATTAACAATATTTGAGTTAATGATAATAAGAATAATAACTTCGATACGCAAGATCAACGTTAGAGTTATTAGTATCAATAATGAGACTGATGCAGCTGCGAATTCCAGAACTTAGCTACAGGGCTTGGATTGTTTGTCATGTAGACCCGTGATTAATAAACCCCCTCCCCTTAACAGGGACTATAATGGGGAACCTAGTATTAAAGTCCCAAAGCCCTAAACCCTAAACCCTAAACCGTCAACCCTAAGCCTAGACCCCACACCCTAAACACTAACCCTTAACGGGTCTACATTCGGCATCTAGCACCCCATGAAAGCTAAGGCCTGCTCAGTTAAACTTCAGATTGATTGCGTAACCCCAGGAGATATGGAGATTCTACAGAGTTATTTATATAGGGATGCTCTAGGCTTATATAGGGGATACATAGGGTTATATGGGGGTCATATATGAGTTGTATAGGGAAAATGGAAAAGAACATGGCAACAATCGGCTATATGGGCATTCTGTAATCGCCTCCCCCCTAATATTAAACCCTCCCACCCCCCTTAAAGATTCCTCATATATTGTCAAATACCACAATGGGGAGTAAATAAGGGCGGGTGGGAGGGTTTAGTGGTAGGAGGAGGGGATGACTCCAGATGCAAGTGAGAGTACAGCAGGGCCCTGCGGAGTGGTTGTCGCTTGTTGCCCAGGATCAGCCATTTGCTCGAGGGGCTTACACCGGCTTTTTTGCACCTGGTGTCATGTCAGTTCCATCGCCCCTCGTCAGAGGAATTAAATCTGACGTGATTTTCTTGACTTTGTATCAGGGCGGAGAACTCAACAGTCTTGTCCGCCCCTGAGGTTCTGGACAGCCTTCCAAGAGATGGAAAAGATTCCGAATGTGTTTCTGGCAGGCAAGCATGTTGCCATGTTGCATCCGAATTCCGGGTCCGTGACTAGAAACAGGATCCTCCTACACCCCAAACAGTAGCTTCCATGTTCTTTTCTATGTAAGCCCTACATAATCTCTCTCCATGGTCTCGGGAGGTTTAGGTTCGGTGCTTCGTTTGGACACTTCTAGCATCTCAGTTCTGAGCATGGAGAAGACAGGCTCCGACTACCATATCGGCTTCGGAAACGGATACATCGAGGCACAGGCTTCATGCAGCCAGCTAAGACCTGCAGGGTTACGCGCTATGGGGAGTTTTGGCTGTTTTTTCATGCCGGCTGAGCCGCCAAGAGCTTTCTGAGCCTGAACACGACCCTGGTGGTATCAGCGAACAGTGAAGGTACTTCCCGCAGAATAGCAGTCATAGGGAGCGTCACAGATTGCCTGTTGTTGCAACCTAGGAATGGAAAAATCCCAGTTGTAACCAGGTAGTATACTATAGTCTTTCATAATTGTGTTCGAAGAAGAATTCCAAAGTCCTTAGCCTAAAGCCTTAGATCGTAAACTAAACCCCCCCGCCCTGTCACGCCTCCGCCCACCTTGTTTGTAGATACCTAGCTGGTTTGATTCTATATCCAGTTCTATTCCCCGGGCCCTAAACCCGGCACAAGCTAAAACCTTAAAGTTCCTATGTAATCCTTGTAGAACCCCTCAAGACCCCGTGTGACTCTTAGTTTCCCTCTGCATGTAATGCCTGTAGAACGTCAACATAATCCCTATAGCCCCTCAAAAATGACATGTAGAATCCCCAAAACACAATATACAGAATCCCTATATCTCCCTTCTGACCTTAAACCGTGAAGGGAGCGCTTCGAGACGGACAGCGGGCTGCCCTTCGAGCAGCCAAGCGCCTGAGGCTTCAGCGTGAATCCTTTACGATCTGAATTGCCGTTAAACAACTCAAATTGCGTTACCATGAAATGATGGCCACAAGTGCCTCGCATCGGTTCTTCAGCGCTGTGAAAAGTCAAGTGGGAGAATGCTGGTAGTAGGGACCAATCTGCAGTGTGCGGCTACTACGCTGCTCACGCATTGATGGGGCAGGTAGTGCGATCGAGAGGCGGACCCAATTCACAAGCATCACTTTGTATTGATGCTATCCTCGTATAATTCGTGTCTGAGGTCCTCTGACCATCTTCGGATATCAGGTGTCACTACCACTCCAGTGGCCTGTAATCAAACATGCAGCCTCCACACTCCACACCTCCTACACTGCCTGCATGTACATGGAAGCTCAGCCGGCCATGCGTTCTGCGCCGCTGCTTTCTAGCTTGCAGGCTGCTTGCTTAGTCCAGCAGCATTTTGAAGACTTCAACTTGCCAGGCTATGTCTTTTGCGTTGTACGGGCAGTGACTTGACCTCTATTTGCAAGGATTGGAGCACCAAATCGCAAGCTGGACTGTAGAAGACCTACGGTCCTTTCACGTTAGGCGCTTGCCTCAGGTCTTCCATGTGCTTGCAACACTCATCTAGCCTTTAAGTTCAATCATGAGAGCAGGTGGATGGAGAGCATTTCCCAAGTAATCCACCCAGCCCAAGCCTTTGAACGTTGTGCTGAACTCTGTCCCAAGCACCCCAGATACTCGGCTAAGACCTCGTGTTCTTGAGCTCGTCAAGCAAAGTTGGTAAGCTACTTGTAGTGGTTTAAGACAATGTTCAAGCATCTAACCCAGGACAAGGCAGCTTCGGCCCCAAATAGCCTGGTCTTGTGGCATAATCCTGATTTATTGCAGAGACTTGCCATGTCCCGCCATGGCATGTTCGTGTAGAGTTCTCTGGGCCAGACATGGATATGAGCAAGGCCCTGCAATTACGGAGTCCAGAGACACTTTGCAATGAAGTGGCCATTGTTTCATATAGCCGTCTAAGAGTTGCTTTTATTCAGAAAGCGGACGGAGCTCCACTTCGTTTCCCTGCCCTCAGTGCATCCCGTCCGCGGGGCTTCTCTCATTCTGATGATTTTGAGGTTGGACCTTTCAAAACGAATGGCTTTGGACCGCGTGATGGAGGCTCGGATGACAGCCAGCCACTATCCAATTTGTGCATGTTTTTTTGTTGCAGCAGTGTTCAGGCATACGGGCACTTGCGTAGTCGGTGTTTTCTCGATCCGCTGAGCACAGCATGGAGAATTTGTTCGCATGTGCAAGTTATTGGATCAAGGTCACATCTGATCTACCTGCAGTTGTGACAGCCACCAAGGTGTGGCAGCAAAGGCCGGAACATGGCGCACCGTACCCTTTTCATGATCTGGCAAGCTCTGGCTGTGCTCACCCGCGGAGACAAGGCCAGCTGTTCAGAATGCGCTGCAATTGATGATTGGAACGATGAGCAGTTTGAGCAGTGCAACGTCTGGGGTGATCCACACATCAGTGACAGCTGGAGCGTGAATGGAAGGTTCGACTTCAACGGAGTGGGAGTTTACCGCTATGCACACATTGATGCGTGCGGTGGCGGCTTCAAGCTGGATGCCTTCCAATGCCAGCACAGCGATTGGAAGCACAGTGCGATCTTGTATGTTGGCATTGAGCTCAACAACGGTGCAAAAGTATTTGTGAACAGCACACATGTGTCAACCAGCGGCTCGGTGAGCGTCACGGGAGCGCAAGGCAGCGACGGCGAGATGGAAATGACCAATCCCAGGGATGGTGTCAACATTCTCAGTGACGACTCATGCATCCGCATTAACGTCAATGCAGTGAACTTGCGCGGTGACCTCCATGCAACGAATGGCATCAAGATCAGGGCTCCCCAGGATGCCGTAACCGACAAGGGCATCTGCGGTGGTGCCAAGCAGTGGGAAGAGCACGTGGTGCGTGGACAGCCCGACTTTGTCTTCTCCATTGACCAGTGGAGGTACATGTGTGGCGCATGCAGTGCGCTGGGTGGGCTGCACCCTCCCAACTGCCCATCTCCCTACTTCGGCCAGTTTGACTTGACTCCCGGAGGAGAATTTCTGCGGCCGTTTGAGAAGACGGATGAGCGCGAGTGCGTTTCGCTCCATGACGGTGACATCGTGCAGCAGCTTGAGGACAACGGCAAGACGCTTGGGACTTGAGTAAAAAAATGGCTTTCTGGGATCTATACATAATCCTACTATATAGTTGAAGGGCTAGTTAAAGGTTACTCTTTCTTGGAGGCCGAGAGAACCCAGCAACGAAGGAACAGCGTCGCCTATGCCATCCTCGAAAAGTCCATGAGCTGCCGAGATTTTTGCCACAATCGCAGCAGCCAGTGTGTCGACGTAGTGGACAATGTGGACTTTGCTCCATGCAGCTTCAGCACAAACGTTTCAAAGAAGAAGGCAAAGGCCGATTGTGACTCCACTGAGTATTACGACCTGAACTGCATCTGTGCCAAGCCTGATCTCTCTGCGCCCGGCCCTGACAAGCGCTTCATTTGTGATGACAGGGTGGATGCAGCCGGCAATGCCTTCACCTTGGAGGATGCAATCCAGCTCTGCAAGGCGAAAGCTCCGTTCTTGCACAATGCCCAGTGGGATCGCAAGGGCTGCAAAAACGATGGTGAGTGCCGCATTGACTTCATCCTTGGAGCTTGCGTATCAGACGTTTGCAATGAAGATCCCATCAACCGCGTGGCGGTCGCCAAGAACGCTGGAGACCAGGACCCCAGCAGGTCTCCAAAAGAGTCAGCTGACCGCTGCGTTGCAGATAGGCTGGGCCGTGAGCTCTGCCGAGAGCTGACCAAAGGGGAGAATTGCAGCTTTGATCCTGAGGCTGTCATGCAGGAGAAGGCAGAGCTCTGCGAGGACACTGTCTGTGAAGACGCCTCCTTGCTGCAGCGCTCCGAAGGTGAGGAGGTTGGGCTCCTGCAGCGGCGCAACGTTGACGTCAAGATGAACCTGACAACAAGCCACTGCAGTCACAGGGTCCATTTCTGCCAGCGCGTGTGCCACAGTGTGCTCGCAACGACTGATGGTGGCAAGCGCAAGTGCATGCAGTACTGCGACAATGATTCGAGCTTTGCCCATGTGAGGGACATCTTGAAATCTTGCTGCTAGCTACTGGTGCGGCCAGGGCCCTGATGCCCGTGCAGTTGGCAAGGCCAACCTGGGCATGGCGCTCGCGGACACTTCTGCTAGCCGAAATGGCGTTGGGCACTTTCCAACAGAAGCGCACTGTGGCACTTTTGACATTGTTTGAAGCAATCGCCTCCTGCAATCGCTGCAACAGATTTTGTTCGTCGACTTTGTTCGGCTGCCCCTGTGAGAGCAGGGCCTACGTGACGTACCCCTGAATGCACAGGAGCTGAGTACACGTTTTTGTCTTTGACAAAGTCATCAGGCAAAGTACCAAGGTGCCTGCTTGCATGGCAAAGTCTGCTGGTTGGGGGTAGAAGTCTTGAGCATGGTAGTGTGTAGAATCTACATACTTTCGTGACAGCAGATTGCTCCGGCCTTTTTTTCGACCTGCGCAAAGGCATGTTTTCTGAAAACCCACAGAATCCAGGCTACACAGGTCTTATGTGTTAGGCATAGGTGCCCACGGAAAGTGAGCCCTATGCCAGGGCACAGCGGGCACGAAGTCTCTGAACGCATGACCAATACGACCAGCCTGCAGTGCCTTAGTTTTATAGACCTTTACTTCAAACAGCTTGTGCCTCGCAAACGCGAGAAGCAGAACTTGCTGTCACTGGTGGCAAAAAAAAAGTATTGGACCCTCGAGCTGCTTTAAGCCAAACATTGTCAGCTGCGCGCCTCTTACTGCAAGCGCACTCTAGGCATGTGCACTGCTGGGGGGAGGGTTGGCAAAGAATGGGTGGGCCTGAAATGGCTGAACGAAAGAGATCTTTGCCAGGCTGCTGATGCCCAGCCCTGGGCGGTCATGGGTGCTGTGGCCGCAAATCAAGCTGTCCTACATCCACCCGCAGAGCTGAACAAAAATAATCCTCGTGGCGAGTGGAGTTCTGACAAGTAGCAGCACCACACGTGTTCGCGCGTTAGCTGTAACATCGATCAAGATTGAGTAACTACGTTTTAGACTGCAGCAGAAGTGGTGCAGCCTCGTGGCAAAGGTTCCAGACCAGAACCAAAAGGCAGCAGAGTCGCAGCAAGGCAAACCGCTTCAAAAGCCAGACTGAAGTCGAGCATACTGTGGAGTGTGCCGCTCTGCTGTTCGGCGGCATGTAGATTTCCTAGGCAGAGCATGACAGTCTGCTGAGAACACCTGGTACAGGCAATGATAGCCTCTTCGCCCGGCTGCCATTGGCTGACAGAGGTGCGAAGGAGCTTCTTGTGCGGACCATTCAGTACCAGAGGGGAGGTCTTTGTTGCAAAGTGCAGGCGCCAGCCTTCAGCCAGGCCCTGCGCAAGGCTGCAGAGGCCACCCTCCAATATGAACTAGCCATGCCCAACCACACAGATACAGATGCAGACAAGAACTTGATGTTGAGTGCTTCAACAAGGCAGTTAAGCCGGGATCTGAGAGGTGAAAGAGTTTCCAAAGGCACTCCTACTATGCTCTGCCCCGGTAGCTGAGTTTGGGGCCATCATTTAATTTGGAGCGGCGGGTCCGGACATGAAGATGCATCAACATCTTGGCCCCAGCTTGAGTTGTTGCAGGTCCATGCTCGTCTGCTATGGTGGAAGTGCCGCGGACGGGGCAGCCAATGCGTGCAAGCCACAGCATGCTGATTGATGTTGGCATTTGGCGGGTAGCTCTCACAAAGCGAATTGGACTCTTCCTGGTGGAATCGGTTCTAAATCTTTACTTGAGCCTTGGATTGGCTTGACTGATATGGCAGTTGAAGGCACCTTCCAGCACACAGACGGGAGTATTGTTGGCTTCTCAGACTGACGAGCTCATGAAGCCATCGACCCTGTCAAACAACGAGGGCTTGCGTCTACTTGATGGGAGACGGTACGCATCTTCCACGATGATGCACTGGGGCACGCATGTACTTGTGCGAGCGCTATGCTGTCTTCAGCGGAGCCCATGGATGGCGACGAGTTTCGTTTCGGAGGTTTCCAGCCCAAGTCTAGCTTCCAAAAGAATTGCCAGCAACAATTGTGTGGAGCTTGATTCTTGCTGCAGGGGTCATCACTGTTCACGATGCATAAAAGTATGTTCCCGTGCACACATCTGTTACTCCGGACCACCAGCTCGATACCGTGCGTTGTGGGATGCAGTGCATCTCAGGTTACAGCTAGGCGCCCCTGATTCTGGCAGACGTGCACGTTCAGATGGAAGTGCATCAAAAGAAAACCACCAAAAAGCCCACGCCCAGGTGTGGGAAGAAGCTCACCCTACAGCGCACTTCAGACTGTAGGCCCCGCATGCAACGAACAACATCACAATCCGCAAACGAAACGTGTAGCCAAGTAGCAGCTACAAAGCAGACGTCCAAGTCAAGATAGAATTTTGCTGAGTGGTGGAAAGGCTCAATTGGCCCAAGCATGAAAGTTGTGCTAGCAAACCTAGAGATCTGACAGAGTTTTGCTGTGACAAGCTCCCGTAGACATCCGTACTACGTGTTATGCCTGGAGAACCAACCTACTGGGTTCCTGTTAAGGAACTTAATCTAAGTTACCATAATGTGTATGTGTATACTATATACATACAAAGTACTTAATATGATTTCCCCAATGTAGTAGCTTGAATGAAGTTCCTTAAATCCTATATCCCACGAGTTTCCATTTCATTTTCCATTTTATTTTCCACTTTGATTCTCCAGTATACGGGGATTATAGCTGAAATTAAGTTCCTTATAGCAGCAAACCAGCCTATTGCCAGGAATCGGGAAGCAAGGCCAGGCCGCTGGAGACCCCACGGCTGCCACCTGTAGTTTTGTCAAGGAAGAGGTGCTTCGGAACTCCTGTTGAATTATTTGGCTGCTGTTAAGAATTTAGTTTAAGTTAGAATATATTAATTCAAGAATCCATACTCATTATATATATATATACCCATTATGATATACCCATTATGGTAACTTCATTTAAGTTCCTTAACAGCAATCCAGATTAGGGATGCACGTCTTCGGATCAGCAGCCAACAGCTTGGCCACGTGCGTAGTGGCGGCCGCACGGGAATCTTTGCACAACCATATTTAGACCTCAGAAATCCAGCCCGTAAATTAGCTTGCCCCCCCACCAGGCCCGTCTCGTCTATGTAAACTTCCTCCATCTGTGTCGCACCGCTCTCGACAGCTATGAAGCGTCATGAAGCGTTTACTGTGCTCCAGCGCTGGCAGCCTGAAGCAGCAGAAACTGCAGTCTGATCTGCTTCTTGAGGATGAGACACCCGAGTCTTCTCAAAGCACGGCATCCCCACCGTCCCAAGATATGCTTTCTCAAATCACGAGTACTTCAAAGGCCACGTTTTCGCAGGGCGTGGAAGAGTGTGCTACCAAGCAAGAGATAGCTGAGGAAGGCAGTTTCCCAAAGCCACGGCAGCGCCTTCCAAGCAACAGCTGACAAGATGCAGGGGCACATTGCCAGGAAGGACTTAAAGGCGGCCGATATCGTTGCGCGTATCAAATGCGGGTACTTCGAGACCCTTGCAAAGCAGATGGAGGACAAGATTGGCATACCAGACCGGGTGTGGGAGAAGATGGACGCCAGGCGCCATACTTCAAGCTGTGTTTCATGCAGCGGTGTAGAGGCCACTTTCATGTATACAGTCATCTAGGCCTAGATCATCCTAGATCCAAACGCAGCTGAGAAGATCTGCATCTGATCTACTTCCATGTCAGCCCTTAGGCCTGCCACAACATGCCACCCAAACCAACAACAACAACAACATCATCANNCAACAACAACAACGCAAAAAAAAAAAAAAGCTGCACTCCAGGCAGGCCGTTGGCAGATTTCTCGCTCAGTACAACACCTCCGAAGAGCGTTTGCACCACTTCGAGCACAAACTTGATGGCTTCGGCTGCGCTGCAACGCTGGTTCTTTCAGGATTCCACGGCCGTCGATTTGAAGGTTCCTCGAAAGGTGTATCAAAAGGTTTTTCGAAGGCTGTCTCAGTCTCGATACTCGACAAGCGAGCTGCCGAGCAAGCTGCATGTGAAGCTTTTAAACGGGATGCTCAAGTGAAGGAGGTAAGGCGACGTCTCCCTCCAACAATGCAGCAAATTCGCAATTTCTTCACTCTCAGCGGAGAACGGAGGCAGCAACTAAGAGCACAAGCCTTTGAGCCAGGAACTGTCCAAACAGACATTATGAAATCCATTTAGAATGGCTTCCGAGAGCTTGGCTGTCACACTTTTTTGTGGGATGGCGGAGATGTTGATGCTGGCCAGCGACCGCCAGAACCGTAGTTGAACTGCAACTGGTGAGTTGGAGCTAAAACATCAGGTGCGCGTGCCAAGAGCGTAGGTTCGAATGGCGTTGGCTTGCTACTATTATTGCTATTATTACTNNTTACTATTATTATTGCTATTTCTACCATTATTACTGTTATTCTTAGTATTTTTTATTAATGTCATTATCATTTTTATTGTTACTATTACTACTTCTACTATTACTAGTATTCGTATTATCTTTATTCTTATTACTATTAATATTTGTAAGGGCAAGATTGCACTCGTCATTAGCACTGGAAAATCAGAAGCCAGCCTATGGCCCTATGGGCAGTTCGGCATCTCATGTTGCCTCCCTGTCTGGCAGATTTCTGCGAAACATATCCAACAGCAGTTCCAATCCTAAACTATGTCGAACAAACGAGCCCTTGCTTAGTACTGCAGCATCTTGCTTGGACTGCCATGGTGTATGAAGTATGTTAGAGCACTTTCCAGGCTCTGACAAATGAAGGCAGTATTTGGACGTCGGTTTTAATACTCCCCGTTTAGTCCCGTACGTCCCACGTATATCCCCTTCAAACGATCTATACCTTCTAAATCCCTCACGGAGTATGACCGGTGTCCGCGCCAAACCTGTTTGGTTTCAGGCCACGCAAGGGCTAATTTCAAATTTTAGGGATGCGGTAGTGTAGATCAAGAGTCTTGGCCGCAGAATTGGAAGGAGCTGGGCTGGCTTGTGGGGTGGATCTTAGGTTAGTG